GGGGCATATAACGAGCCCTATTTACTTCTCCTTCATGGTTGATCTTGATTTCTATTTCAATTTTCCCACTAACTGAGCCAAAACCTCCAAATTCTGTAAATAAAAATAAATTGCAAGTAAGGGTGAGACACAAAACATTCTGCTTGGGTAACACAGAATATGAAGACATAGGCAAAGCCTTTTATCAGTAAAATAGTATATTAGACATTTGTTAGCAATATACAGTGTTTTCATTCTCATCTGACATCAGATATGTTGTTAAATGCCTAATAAGAATTACATTGCTAGGCGTGGTGGCACACACCTTTATTCCCAGCAATGCAGGAGGCTAAGGCCTGAGGATTCCCACATCCAAGACTGGCCTCAACAACTTAGTAAGAAATCAGAAATAAAGAAAATAAAGAAAATCAGAAATAAAGTCCTGAGATGTAGTAACATGCATCTGCTACACGGTTTACTCTCAGTAGAACAAAAACACCACCCTGGCCCAAAACAAACAAGTCAAAGTATTTTATTAGTATTTGAAGTTAAGAGAAACTTTCACCTCAAAAGGAGGTTCTTCATAAACACTTTTTAAATCTCATTTAAAGTACAAATAAGGGGGCTGGGGTCGTGGCTTAGTTGGAGAACACTTGCCTCGCACGCATAAGGCACTGGGTTTGATCCACAGCACCACATAAAAATTAATAAAAAATAAAGATTGTGTCCATCTACAAATAAAATATCATTAAAAAATTACTTTAAAAAATACAAATACGACAGGTGTGTAAGACTAAGTAATCCCACTGATTTGGGAGACTGAGGCAGAAGTCTGAGGCTAGCCTCAGCAACTTGGCTAAGGATGTGGCTCCATGGTTAACTGTCCCTGAGTTCAACCCTGACACCAAAATAAATACAAAAAAGTATGCTGAATAAACTTGGTACTATTTTTTTTTTTAAGAGAGAGTGAGAGAGAGAATTTTTTTTAATATTTATTTTTTAGTTCTCGGCGGACAYAACATCTTTGTTGGTATGTGGTGCTGAGGATCGAACCCAGGCTGCACGCATGCCAGGCGAGCGCGCTACCGCTTGAGCCACATCCCCAGCCCCCACTTGGTACTATTTTTAAAAAATACTTTTAGCTGTAGATAAACACAATATCTTTTTTTCATTTTCATGTGGTGTTGAACCCAGTGCCTCACACCTGTTAGGCAAGCATTCTACCACTGAGCCACAACCCCAGCCCTAGTTAATTTTATTTATTTTGGGACAGGATCCAAGTTGCCCAGACTGGCCTCAAACTTGCTATTCCCCTGCTTCAGATGAATCACTGGAATTATAGGTGTGTGCAACCACAACAGGCTAATAGTTCCATTATCTTTGTTTTTGGTACTGGGGATTGAACTGGGGGTGTTTAAACACTGAGACACATGCCTAACCCTTTTCTGCATTTTATTTAGACAGGGTTTCGCTGAGTTGCTTAGGACCTTGCTAAGTTGCTAAGCCTGGCTTTGAAATCACAGTTTACCTGCCTCAGTCTCCCAAGCTGCTGGATAACAGGTGTGCGCCACTGAGCCCAGCTCCATTTTCTTAACTCCTATTTGCCTTTAATTTTTCAGAACCTCAAATATCCATAAAACAAAGAAGATGTAAAAGTAATAGATGAGGGGGTGGGGACATAGCCCAGTTGGTAGAGTGCTTGCCTCACATGCATAAGGCCCTGGGTTCAATCCCCAGGCACTACCATAAATAAATAAATTAGTAATAGATGAACCAGGTGAAATGGCACACACCTGTAACCCCAGCGGCTGGGGAGGCTGAGACAGGAGGATCACAAGTTCAAAGCCAGCCTCAGCAATAGGGAGGCGCTAAGCAATTTAGTGACTCTGTCTCTAATAAAATTCAAAATAGGACTGGGGAGCTGGCTCAGTGCTTTAGTGCCCCCAAGTTCAACCCCTGGTACCAAAAAAAAAAAAAAAAAAAAAGTAATAGATGAAACTGCTGTCAATAATATTGCTACACAGGTGTTACTCTTTGAAGGACAAAAGCTTCTCAGAAAGCAAAGATGTAAATGGGTAACATTGTTGGCCTTAGATAACTTTCAGCTTCAAAATAACTTTTGTAAGTTTAGAGCATATGTTTCAAAACAAGGTTAAAAGCCCAATAATAAAAGTTTAAAGACTACAGGAGAAGAAAAAAATACATTAACTAATTTTATTCCAAAAACTTGTAACAAAAAGGAAGGCAAAATAAGGGGTGTCATCATAAGAAACTTTCAATCAAAGCACACAGTGGTTAAGTACATAACTGTAGAGAATTACCACTACCAAAAAAATAAATAATTATTAAAAAAATAGCATAATTGTCAGAAAAGTGGCACCATTCAGGGAAAAGGAAGAGCTGGCAGCATAGAGCCCATAGAACAAGGGTTATTTCAGGATTGGACATATATGGGCCTCACTATAAACAGTAGCAAGAATTCAAAATTTGTATTTTGTTTCTTGGTACTGGGGATTGAACATGGGGAGCTTAAACACCGTGCTATGTCCCCAGCTCCTTTTTCTATTTTGAAATAGGGCCTAGCTATGTTGCTGAGGTTGGTTTTGAACGTGTATTCCTCCAGCCTCAGCCTCTAGAGCCCACTGGGATTACAGGTGTGAACCACCACACTCAGTTCAAAATTGAGTTTTAAAGGTCTAGGATTCAACTGGGTATGGTGGTACGCACCTATAATCCCAGTAGCTCAGGAGGCTGAGGCAGAAAGATTGCAAATTCATGGCCACCCTCATTAACTCAGGAGGCTCTAAGCAACATAGTGAGAYTCTTTCTCAAAATAAAAAATAACAAGGGTTAGGGACATAGCTCAGTGGAACAGCACCTCTGTGTTTAATTCCAGGTATGAAAACCCTCCCTTCCAAACAAAACAAAACAACCACCCTCCCCACCCCACCCCCCAAAAAACCCTAGTATTTTTTTTTTTAGTGTAGTGCTAGTAATTGAATCCAGGGCCTTGCACATGCTAAGAAAGCACTCTACCAATGAGCTACATCCCCAGCCCTATGTATTTAATGTGATTAGAGAAACAAAAGGATCACCAGTTTGAGGCCTGCTCCAGCAATTTAGCAACATCCTATCTTGAATAAAAACTAGGGGTTCCTAGGTTTATCCGCATGAGGATCAGTTGATTTATATGGGGTTTACTGTATATATTACTGGCTCTTTCTCTCTCTTTTTTTTAACCTGTTCTTCAAATATGAAGTGTTAGAGGATAAGGTCTCTTCAAAACAAAAGGAAATTTGATGCCACTCAAAGGGAATGTAAGCTGCGCATGCTGTGTCCACCTGTAATCACAAAGGCTCAGGAGGCTGACAGGAGGATTACAAATTCAAGGCCAGCCTCAGCAACTTAGAGAGGACCTGTATCAAAATAAAAAGAGCTGGGGATGTAGCTCGGTGATAAAGTGCCCAGTACTTAAAAAACAGATATGAGTGTTCTGCTAATCACAAGAAATCTAAGAAACATTAAACATCTAATATTTATGAAAGTGTTCTATCACTAAGCTACATTCCCAGCCTACTTAAAAAAAAATTTTTTTGAGATAAGGTCTAAGTTGCCCAGGCTGGTCTCAAATTTAAGGATCCCTCAGCTGTAGCCTACCAAGTAGCTGGGATTAGAGCATGCCACTATGCCCAGTATCAACTTGTTTTTCACTGTTACCTAGCTACAAAACCTTAAAGACAATTTTTCCCGTACCTGATGAATATGTTATACCACAAACATCCAATGTCTGAATATGTGCTAAGTACTTTATATATTCAACAAGCAATTTACACTCACCCAAACCCACGAACCATTTTTTATCTGCTTAGAATATCTCCCCTGATGAGAATGCACAGAAATAACGTTGGTAGATTTCTGGTTCTTTCAATGGTAGAAATTCCCTCATTACCAGATTAGTAGTGGGAAGTTTACAGAAAAGATACAGAATGAGTTTGCGTTGAGTAGTTCTTCTATACTGCAAACTTAGCTCTCCCAAGCATAAATCTTATTTCTAACTTGAGGCTACTTTATCAAATTGGTATCCTTTTACAATAATTCAAAGATATGAAAGATAACCATATGTCATAAATTCTGTCTTGTTTAACATTCCTACCTCCTTTCTCACTGTCGTAGTGTGATGCATCAAATTGAGCATCATCATTAGGGAGCTGTACACTGGCTATCACAAGGTGGTTTTGCTCATCTGATGTGTGTGTCCCCAAGACAAGCCGATGAATGCTGAAATCTTTTCCTTCTGGTCTGTAACAGCAATAAACAGTCAATATTCAAATTAGTACCATCAAGAGAGACTACAAACAGTTATGGAGACCCACTTTCTACATTTACTGCATCTTCCATAAGGTGAAATACAGAGAACAATATAGTTCCTAATTTATTTTATTTGTATGTTTTTCTAATGTGGTGCTGAGGATTAAACCCAGTGTCTCCCACGTCCAACGCAAGTGCTCTGCCATTGACCTACAGCCCCAGCCCCCAATTTTTTAAAAAACTATTTTTAGTTGTTGATGGACCTTAATTTAATTTATTTATATGCACTGTTGAGAACTGAACCCAGTGCCTTACGTGCTAGGCAAGCGCTCCACCACTGAGCCATACTCCAAGTCCTAGCACCTGATTTTATAAGCATCTCTAACTTGTTTTAAAATTTAGAATTACTCTGGAGAAAAAGTTTAATAAAAAATGAACTATGTACTCTTTACAATGGGCTAAAAGGAAAGAAAACAGGGGTTGGATACTCTAATACTTTATTAAAACCTTTGTTAAAAGGAGGGGCTGAGCACAACGACATGCCTGTAATCTCAGCTAGAAGGATCACAAAGAAAATCCAGGTGTGCTAGTGCCCACCTGTTACTCCCAGAGACCTGGGATGCTAAGGCAGGATTATTACAAACTCAAAAACAGCCTCAGCAAATCATCAAAACCCTGTCTCAAAACAAAACGTAGCCCCGTGACAAAGTACTCATGGGTTCAATAAATCCCCACTACCCACCCCCACCAAAAAAAAAAAAAAAAAAAAAAAAAGGAAAGGAGTAGCTTGGGGTATAGCTTAGTGGAAGACCTTAGCATATGCAAGGTACTGGGATCAATCTTCAGCACCTCAGACCGACCTTAAAAAAGGTAAACTAGGGATGGGACTGGGGCCCAGTGGCAAAGCACTTGCCTAGCACGTGTGAGGCACTGGGTTCAATCCTCAGCACCACATAAAAATAAACAAACAAAATAAAGCCATTGTGTCCACCTACAACTAAAAAGGAATTAAAAAAAAAAAAAAGCCAGGTGTGATGGTTCATGCCTGTAATTCCAACAACTGAGAGGCTAAGGCCCTAAGGAATTTAGCAAAAAAACCCCCCCCCCCCCCCCCCCCCAAAAAAAAAAAAAAAAAAAAAGAGGGGGGGTGCTGGGGTTGTGGCTCAGTGGTAGAGTGCTCACCACACACGTGTACAAGGCCCTGGGTTTGATCCTCAGCACTACATAAAAATAAATAAAATAAAGGCTCAACTACAACTATGTTCAAGTACAACAAAAAAATATTAAAAAATAAAATTTTTTAAAAAAAGAACTATGGATGTGACTTAATGGTTAAGCATCCTTGGGTTCAATCCCCAGTACCAAACAAACAAAACAAAAAMCCGGAGGCAATTAGGCAGTCATGTACACAAATAACTAAATATTAGGCAATATATACTATATGAAAGGCACACAAAAATATGGGAGTTTAAGCTGGGAATGGACGCAATCTCCAAAAAATCTCAGTTACTCAGGATGCTGAGGCAGGAAGATTCCAAGTATGATGTCAGCTTTGGCAACACAGAGACACTCAAAGTAAAAATTAAAAAATGGCTGGAGTGGTAGAGTGCTTCTGGGTTAAATTTCCAGTACCACCCAAAAAAGTAAAGAAACAAAATATGCAGCAATCTAGATTATAAGGAAGCATTCTGGAAGAGACGCTAAGATTACAGATACCATGATAGCCATTTTACATACAAAATTTAAACACCATAATAATACTATGAATATTATTCCAACTTGAAAACAAAGRTATCTGACACTGAGGAAAATTGAGCAATCTCTAAGATCACACAACTACCAAGTTAACAACTGGGATAAAATTCCAAATGAAAAGCACAATGGGAGAGAAACCTATAAAGTAGATAAAAACCAGAATCTTTATTGTTTTGAGTGTCAGTTTTAAGGAATTCTAAATTCCATACTGTAGGGAACAAGAAATCATGGAAAGTTTCTAAGCAGTGACATAACTTAATATCATTTGTTTCCTCAGAAGGATTAATTTAACAATGTAAAACAGAGGTTCTTAAAAGTATAGTACTAAGGCCAATAGAACCAGCATCAGCATCACCTGGGAACTTGTTAGAAATGCAAATTCTCAAATCTACTCCAGATCAAATAAATCAGATATTCTGGAAGGTGGGACACAACTGTTTTCTAAGACCTTCAGCTGATTATGCTGCATATTACAATATGAAAACTCCTGGTCTCAATGAGACAGATGCAACACAATTAGGATTTATGAGGGCTTATAAATGACTCCCTGTCAACTGGGTAAACAAAACATAAATGTCAAAAAGTCAAATATGGCCAGGCACGGTGGCACATGCCTGTAATCCCAGTGACTTGGGAGGCTGAGACAGGAGGATCGCAAGTTCAAAGCCAGCCAGCCTCAGCAAAATGAGACCCGGTCTGTAGATAAAATACAAAAAAACAGTATAGGACAAAGCTAGGGTGGAACCTCCAAGAAATGAATTACTCTGTTCAGAACATGTCAAACTGAAGAAACCAATAAATAAGATACTTGAGGCACCAGTAGGAAGCCAAATAACACAAAACATTATCTGAAAGGGCTCAAAAATAGATCAAGATACACACATATATATTTGTATATATGTGTGTGTATATATATATATATATAGGACCACTGAATCCCAGATATTATACAATTTAGCACATGAATATAGTAAATATGACAATACTATTCAAATATTTTTCTCACCAAGTTTTTAAAACTCCCGACAGAAATGACTACTTATCTTGAACTCCAAATACTTCCAACAATCATTGATCAACTGAATGTGGGAACGCCCAATCAGGATAAAGAAGCTTCAAATTCTAAATTTCTATCTAGATACTAAGGTTTTTTTATAATATCTCTAGCATACATTTCCCCATTTTTCCTTATGCTACTGTAAAGGAAGCAGCTTCATTCTTGAAAGAATATGGTTATTTAATACAAAATAATTTTTGAATGTTATTCTGAAAAGTGAAGCAATTATAACAGGCACTTTTTTTTTTTTTTTTTGATGGTACTGAGGATTGATCTCAGGGACATTCTATTGTTGAGCTGTACTCCATCATTTTTATTTTTTTGAGACAGCATCTCATATTCCACCTAAAATTTGTGATCCTCCTGCATCAGCCTCCAGAGCCCCTGGGATTACAGGCATGTGCCATGGTGTCCAGGTAGGTACAGCACATACCAATCATCTATATCCACCATACCTTTGCACTGTTACTTCCTTCTAAAAGTCAGTCCCGACACTCCAAAGTTGAGGTATATTTTTCTTGCTCTGATCACATCTGTGCCACTCTTGTCATAATTCTGATTTATTTGTGTCCATTGATATGTGGACCCTAGCAGAGCCTCAATAAATGCAAGCCAAACTAAATGATATGCTATCCCCTATATCAGAGGCAAGCTACCTGGGTAAGAAATATATGTGAGGGCTGGGGACATAGCTCAGTGGTAGAGCATCCCTGAGTTCAATCCATAGTACTAGGGGGAAAAAATGAATGTATGTGATTAGTCTCATAATCCTCACTATGCCCAACACCCAACTTCCTTTTATGAAAACCATATTATGGGGCCTGGGCCTGTAGCTTAATGGCAGAGCGCTTGCCTAGCATGCATGAAGCACTGGGTTCAATCCTCAGCACCACATATAAACAAAATAAGGGCATTCTACAACTACAAAAATTAAAAGAAAGAAAGGAAGGAAGGAAGGAAGGAAACAAACCATACTAGGACATCTCCAGGTATTTTTTTGTTTTGTGTCCTAGGTCATTAAGGATCCAGCCCAGGGTCTTGCTGGATGTGATCTACCAATTAAGTATTTATCTCCAGCCTCCATTAAGGATGTTTTCTAAGTATCCTAATTATCTTTCTATAATTGTTCTCATTCTACATCGCTATAAGTACCACTTGACATCTACCTCTTCAACCAGAGCACGTATTGTTTATAGGTAGGTCCCATATTCCTCTTTGCATTAAGCAGCTATGGACTGTGAAAATTCATTCGGTTTGTTGAAGGCATTGAGCTTAGACTGCTTACTGAAAGTTATCAAGTTTTGTAATTTGGTCAACTACAGTTGTAATACGGCTATTCAATTCAGTATCACAAAAAGAAAATACCAACATATTTCTCTCTCTCCAGGTAAATTCCAAAATAATTTACATTTTGCCATATTTTTCCCCATCGATCAAAAAACGTCACTAATAGGCTTTGATCACGTGCCCTCTTCAAGGGACTGGAGAAATCAAAGTAACGTTCAAGAGATTCATGTCACCTGGTTACATCTGGAAGCCACTGTGCTGTTAGGCTGGGCCACTCCAGAGCATGGGTCATCACCAAATCATAAAGAAAAGGGGTGTTCTTTTTCCATATTTTGTACTCCTCGTTGATCACACGCTCTTCCACTGCGTCGTCAAAGGCTGCTAAAATTTTTAAAACAAATTAAGTTAGAGAACAGAAACAGAAAACAAGTAAACCTCTCCAAAGCTACCAGCAGCTTCTTCCCTCCAGACCCTGGAAAAGAGGGTTGTGTCCGGTGTTCCYAGGAGCAGTCACCAAACAACGCCGCCCTCTACCTCCGCGGGCCGGAAGTCCCGGCYATTCGAGCCAGCACTCCGTTACCCATTCGAGGCGAAGGCGCAAGGCCTTCGAAGCACGCTTGCGCGAATAGTCTGGAAGACCGGCGAGGAGGCGCGTCACCGGGCCTTGGGTAGGGAGCGAGGCAGGCGGGCCCGGGAAATAGGCTGAGTGGCCGACAGGGAGTGTGAGGAGGGACGCACACCCCTAGGCCTCCCACTGCCAGCTTCGCTCCGCGGTGACGGGCTTCGGCTCCTGAGAAACTGGAACGCCGTTAGCCCGCCCCGCGGGGAGCTCCCTCCTCACGCCAGCGTTGCTGGAGCTTCGYTCGGCACCATTGGGCCTGTCGCCGATGTTAGGCCGTATGGAGGCCGCAACGCAGCTCAGACACCCGCCGCCCTCACGGGGCGTCTCAGGCACCCTCACCTTCCTTGTCGGCCATGGCGGCAGGAGAGCCGGGGGTATCCCGGGGTCGAGCGTTGCGGGAGGGGCGGGGAGCCTGAGAGCGCTAGCTCCGCGCGCGCGGCCTCTATTGTTTCCTGCGGCCCCTACGTGAGGGTCGACTCGCGCACCTTCGCGCCAACGTCGGCCAATCGGAGTGCATCCAACAGCGGGGTAGGCGGGGCAATCCCATTCTCGGCCTATCCCGACGCACAGAGTCTCTTTCCGCGGGTCCGATGAGCGCGCTCCGCCCCATCTGTCCCCACACCGCGGGAGCGGACTTCCACTGACTGCGCGCGCGCCCGGGCTGATGGGATTGTGCCCGTTCAGGTCACGTGAGAAGTTTAGTCCACACATTCCCGGAGGCAGCCATTTTCTTACGGGCTGTTACGCTCACGTTCAAAATATTGATGTCTGGAATGCTTCAGGTTATAATTATCAACTCTGGGTGCCAGGCGGAAAGACAAGGTCTCACCACTCAGACCCAGAGTTGTCTAATTTAAGGTGTTCTTCAACTTGCTTAGTCTTTAGAAATAACTAGTGATAGGCTGGGGTTGTGGCTCAGTGGTGGAGCGCTAGCTTAGCATGTGGGAGGCACTGGGTTCGAACCTCAGCACCACATAAAATAAAAGGTCCATAAACAACTAAAAAATATTTTAAAAATAACTAGTGATAAACACAGAAGGTGGGGCCTTGTTTTTTAACCATGTGATCCAAGCGTCAAGTCCTAGAATGGAAGTCAAAGGGGTTAACGTCCTTCCGCAAACTCCGAGAATGGAGTCCGGGGCCTTTAAGACGCGTGCCAAGGGGCGGGGTTTACGGCGGAAGCAGTAGCGCCCGGCCGAAGTCCGGCAGAGGAAGGGCGGAAGTAGAGTATACACTCCTGCGATCATGGCGCAGGAAGGAGAAGATATTAGAGATTACAATTTGACTGAGGAGCAGAAGGYGATCAAGGCCAAGTATCCTCCAGTCAATCGGAAGTACGAATGTGAGTAGATGGCTCACTTCTCTATTCAAATATGGGCACAGGGGCATGCCTGATTCCTTACCTGCAGCTTCCTTCCTCACCTCTACTTTGCCCCTACGTGTTCGGGCATCAACTCTTTGTGCCCTGTGTGCGCCCTGTAATGTATCTTTGTATTTGTCCTAGAGGGTTCTAAAGTAAAAGGCCACCTGGCTTAGGAGTCAGGAAACCTGAGTTTCCACATTTGCAGTCTCTTAACATCAAGCGCCTGATCACATTTATGAGTTTTACTAGTGCGCCAATTATAAAAGTAATTGGGTTTTCAAGAGTTTCGTGTTTGACTTCATATCTAGTAACAGTGGGACAGTTAAAGAGTGTGGCAAATGTAGAGAACTGGGAAAACTAAGATGGGCAATTGTAACTTGGTGTTTTACCTCTTTTTTTTTTTTTTTGTAACCAGGAATTGAACACAAGAGGCCTACTGAGCCACGCCCTTTTTAATGTTTTAAGTAAAGACAGGGTCTTTCTGAATTGCTTAGGGCCTCACTAAGTTGTCCGAGGCTGACTTTTATCTTGTGATCCTCCTGCCTCAGCCTTCCAAGCCTTAGCCTTCCTAGCTCGCTGGGATTAAAGGCATGTACCAGAGACCCAGAATTTACCTGCATCGTGTTATAAAAGAACCTGGTTTCTCCATTTATTAGTGACTTTAAGCAAATTATATTGCCTATCTTTATGTCTCAGTTCCTTCATCTAAGGAATAATGTGAACTGGAGGTGTAGTGTGCTTTATGGCATGCAGAAGACCTTGGGTCCAATCTTCAGCACCACAAAAATAAGGAAAGTGAAAGGATAGTTCAGTCTCTTAAATTCTGTATTAGCTGTTATCCTACAGGTGGCTATGGTGGGGAGCGCAAATTTAATTCATTTATCTTCTTAAAATCTTTTATTTTTTCGGGCGGCATCCACTGCTACTCCCAGTGACTGGGGAGGCTGAGGCAGGAGAAACTCAAGTTCCTAGGCCAGCCTTAGCAATTTCGTGAGGCCCTAAGCAATTTAGGGAAACCTGTCTCTAAATAATAAGGTCTGGGGATCCGTGGTAAAGCGCCCATGGGTTAAATTCCCAGTGCAATCAATAAGTAAATAGAGGAGTAGGAAGTGTAGGTCAGTGGTAGAAGCACCCCAGGATTAAATCCTCAGTGCTGCAGTAAATAAAAAATGTACAACTACCACATCATTTTTGCATCTGTGCATTCTTAACCCAGCATATCTCCCTTGCGCTTGCCCTTTTCTCACTTAAAAACAATTTAAAATACTATATGATTAAAAAAGTGGTCACTACTTCCGAGACTGAGGCAGGAGAAACAGGAGTCCTCCAAGTTCCAGATGACCTGGGTAACAAAGACCAAAAAACACCAAAAAAAAAAAAAAAAAAAAACCAACAATAACAAAAAGCAGATATGCAGTGAAAAATAAGTCTTGTAGCTCTGATCCCATGTTTTAGTCCCTGTTTCTAGAGCAACAAATGTTCTAGCATTTTCTCTGTTTAACCAATTACTAGTTGGCAGACATTTAGGATATTTCTATGCTTTTCCATTTTTGTACTGGGGCTTAAACCCAGGAGTGCTTAGCCACTGAGCCACATCCCCATCCCCAGTCCCCTTTCCTTTTATTTTGAGATGGGATCTCACTAAGTTGCTTAGGGCCTCACTAGATTGCTGCAGCTGGTCTCAAACTTGTTATATTGCCTCAGCCTCCCTGTAGCTGGAATTACAGGCTTGTGTGGCCAAGTCTGGCTGAGCCTTTTTAAATAGTCTCTGTTAAAAATGGAGAATGTAAATGATGGGAGGGAAGGGGAGGAGTAGGGGAGATAGGAAGGGCAATAGAATAAAATAGACATTATGATTGCTGTATGTATATAGGTGGCTCTATAACCAGTGTGATTCTGCAATCTGTACAATTAGAAAAATGAGAAATTATACCCCAGTGATTCAAATGTATGAATTGCCAAGATCATTGTAATGTCATGTGTAGCTAATAAAAAAAAAATTAAATTAAAAAAAATGGAGAATGTGCRGGCTGGGATTGTGGCTCAGCGGTAGGGCGCTCGCCTAGCATGTGTGAGGCCCTGGGTTCAATCCTCAGAACCACATAATAAATAAATAAATAATTTGAAAGATGGAAAATATGCATAAAGTGTTTCTGCTGTGTATCAAGGTATTGATGTTCATCTTGAGGAAAAGAACTTGTGTAATTGTGAGGTTTTGTCGCAGAACACAATTCTTCATTGTAAGAATGACTACGAGGGCTGGGGATGTGGCTCAAGCGGTAGCGTGCTCGCTTGGCATGCGTGCGGCCCGGGTTCGATCCTCAGCACCACATACCAACAAAGATCTTGTGTCTGCCGAGAACTAAAAAATAAATATTAAAAATCTCTCTCTCTCTCTCTCTCTCTAAAAAAAAAAAGAATGACTACGACAAGCTGTTGTTATTCAGACTTGGGTATTTGACATGAATTTTCTTTAAAATGAACAAAGCAATCTGTCACATCAAGGCAAAAAACTATTATTGGTAATGATAAAATTTAGGCTTTCAAGTTATATTAAAATCTTAGAAAACTTGTGTCTATCCCCATGAGCTTCCCAGTATTTAGAAACTTTTCTGGAGGCTGAGGCAGGAGAATTACAGGTTCAAGGCCAGCCTCAGCAAGTTTGAAGCCAGCCTTGCTGACTTCCTGAAACCCTGTATCAAATAAAAAGAGCAAAAGGACTGGAGATGTAGCTGAGCGGTAAAGAGCCCCTGGGTTCGATCCCCCTTACCAAAAATAAATAAGTGAATTAATAATAAAATGTTTTTTTTTTAAAGTTCTCTATATGGTTGGGGATGTGGCATAGCAGTAGAGGGCTTTCCTGGCATGTACAATGCCTGGGATTTGATCTGCAACACTATCCAAAAAACAAAACAATGTCCTATGTAGTTAAATACATCAATATTATCTGTGTAACAATGAACTAGTATTTTCTAAATTACTAATGCTTGATATTACACCATCAGATATGGATAAGACCCATTGTGAATGTACAACAGATCAATGGATTTTAATGCTACAGAGTATTTTCATACAGAGAACTTTTCAAAGTTTCAGTTCTTTGTATATATATAGCCTCAGATTCTACATTGAACTAATGTTTAAAAAACTACCACATTTTGCATTTTGATATAAAATTTAAAAGACTGTTCATTCTTGTTTGAAAAAACTATTAAAATCTCCTCTGGGGGCTGGGGTACATAGCTCAGTGATGGAGTGCTTGCCCCAGGGAGGCTCTGGGTTCTATCCCCAGCACTACAAACAAAAATTCTTTTTCTTTTGCATATCTGTGGTGCTAGGGGTAGAACCCAAAGCAGGGTCTCCCATGCCAGGCAAGCACTCATCACTGAGTTACATCCTCAAACCAAGGCTGGGTTATATTCATGCATTCAAACTAAATGAACATGCCACAACACATTAAAAATATTTGAACTGGAGGTGGTGGTGCATACCTATGATTCCAGTGACTATGGTGGCTGAGGCAGGAGAATTGCATTTAAGGAGGCCCTAAACAATTTAGTGAGACCCTGTTTCAAAATCAAAAGGACGGGGATGTGGCTCAGTAGTAAAGCTGGTATTTAACCTTGGGTTAAATACCATAAATAAATAAACAAAAATAAAAGTATTTGG